GTAGCATAGCAGATGTTCTCCGGGAAAATGTCCTCTCTGAAATTATACCCAAATTTTAATTATCTATGATCAAATTACTGGAAATGTTTCTCGTGCCTGTCTACAATTAGCATGGATGGCCCCCAGTTGCGCTCTTTTATCAACTCCTTAATGAAATTTGGATCACGCGTGGGTATCTCAACATTATCAATTATATGGAGATCATCTTGCGCCAATTTTACGCTAAGTGTTGCCGTCAATCCCATTACCCGCTTATAGAATGGCAGCATATAGAAATGTGTGGTAGGTGATCGTGGACCGTGCGCAACACCACCACCACGAAATAGCGGTGAGCGAATGGAACCATGTCGCGCACGACCCATACCTTTTTGTGGCCAAGGCTTCCGTCCACCGCCACGTACTTCTGCGCGCGTTTTAGTATTAGCAAAGCTTACATAACGATATTTACGCTGCCATTCTATGTTCTCTTGTATGACATCGACGCGGGGTTGGGCTGCGAACACGTCGGGATGTAAATCTATAAGTCCCAATTTGCGCTCCTCCACTGCATCTATGTTCTCAATCCAAGCTTGTCGCGTTGCCGACCGGTACATTGGTTCATATTGCGTCCAGTTTTGTGGTAATATGAGCGGTGCCACAGGCTTTATCGGCTTCGTTACTTCTGGTTCTTCCTTGGCGGCTTCGTGCGTGGCACGGATTGCAATGCCGCGCAGCGAGGGCACTAAAATAAATTTAGTTTTATTTAACAAATTCAACATTTTTTTTTATACAAAAGTTAACAAAAACGGGGAAAATGTAAATTGAAAAGCGTGACACAAACACAGCTGTTTTTATTTTGACATTTCTTAGCCTACGAAAAGTGGGTGGTATAAAAACAAAAAAAGCGAAGTGGAAAAATACAAAGTTGATTTTATGGAACGATTTTATGGGTACTTTGTCTTAAGCCGAGAATGTCTTTAGCAATACAAAAATTAGGGTACGTTCACACAAAAGCGCGGCCGAGATAAGCGAAGCCGTTCCGTGGTGAGCTTTCAAATTGCTGTAGCTATATGAAAGTGTTCATACAGCAATCCTTTTCAGAAGCGTTAAGGCCAAAACACAATAGCGCAGTGGCAGTGGCAGTGACAGTTTTTAAAATCAGCTGTTACTGCTAATATTGGCAGTCAATAGGTTCGTTCGCGTAGCTGTTAATTGTTCATTTTTAACCAAAACTTACAAGTTTTTGCGTTCGCGTACGCAAAAAACTTGCAAAGTAGGGGAAATTGAGAGAGCAAAGTGACATTTCATTTTGAGGGGAAGCTGCTGGTTTCTGCTGGAAAAATTTTTGCCAACAGCAATTTGCCAAAAGGAAAACAGCTGATCAAAAACAGCTGGTTGGCATTTACGCAAATCACAAAATTGAATTTGATGGTTTGGAAGTTAAAAATTACAAAATGCGACTAATTAAACTTGTAAGAAGTAAGTAGTTATTTGTTTAATCAATAAACTGGGGTGGGCTTTAGTAGTCAGCCGCACCTTGTGTTTTAAGAAAACCAGGTGGAATTAACAAATGAAACTTGGTCAGGATGTTAAGGGAGGTATCCTCTAAAACATGTATAACTAAAAAATATAAATAATATCATTGTTTATAAGTTATTTGTTGTTAAAATTTCTTAAGTTGTTCCACTTGGTTTCCTTAACAAAAAAGCATTTGTGCATACTTTTATATATATAAATGCACATAACACTGTACTTAATACTTTACACACTTTTCTTTTAGTTTATCTTGTACATAAACCACTTTAATTAAACTTTTATGGACTTGTAAATTACATTGAATTTCACGCATATTTACAATAACACATGGTTGCAAACTGACACATAACATGTGTTGCCATATTGTACAAAACAATACATACAAAGAAGGCAATGATTAAAAAGGAATACAGGGGAAATCAATACAAAAGAAAATGTTCAGCTCCTTTTCTTCGCAAAACAGAAAGGAGAATTCTATTGCCTGAGGGTTATAATCCCTAAGTGCGGCCGAAGGCCGCCTACGCAGAAAGGTGTTCTCTGCAAAAGGTGTTCAGCTCCTTTTCTTCGCAAAACAGAAA